GCTTCCTGCCCATCTCCCCTGCGCGGGCGGACTGAGGGGCGCAGTGGCCCATGCAGGAAGGAGCGGCTTTGCGCCAGCGCTGACCCCTCAATGCGCTGAAGTTGCACGACCAACATGGGCTGCGAAACGCCAGCTCCTCTTCTCCCCCCTTCTCGGTACTTTGTTCTTGGGGGTGGCAGGGATTGGAGCATGGTCTAACTAGGGCTCGCTGGTGGGTCTGGAGGGAATTTAAGAGTACAATCCTCGAGGCTTGGAGTCGTCTGCAGAAGTCACTGGACTTTCTGCTGGGGGGGGGGTAGGCTGTAGGCTGGGGTTTCCCTCGCTCTCTCTTCTCTGCTTTGAATTCTGTTAGTACAAGAGACCAAATGTCAAAATAGTAGAGGACGCTTGAGGGCGGGTGTGGCATTGATTGTGAGCCCTCCTCCCCTATGAATAGTGCTGTGAAGTTTGATGGTAGGCATCCTGGCTGCTTCTCTTAAAGCAGACAAGTTTTCAGGATCCCTTATGCCCTGTAAAAGAAAGGAAAAGTGACCATAATCCCTCTCTTTCTCTTTAAGAGTCTGTAGCATTTCACTTGAAAGATGGGACCACCATAACCTAGGGGTTTATGGGGTGTGGTTGGGGCAGCACGAAAGTCTGGGGAACTTCTGTCTGCTCCTCCCAATGTGTATTAAACACTTTTTTTTTTTTCTTCAAAATGGGGAGGCGGGGAAGAGGGGGAAGTCTTCTCTGAGAATAATTGAACATGGAGTTTATTTTTCAGAAAGAGACTTGTAAGGGAAACCTGGAACATTATGCAGTAGATATAACGGAGAAATAAAAATACACATTGGTGTCACTTCTTTGTTAGGCAAGAAGACCTGGAAGATTATTTTCTGATTGATATTTGAATGAGAAGTGTGGTCCTTTCTAGCATGGAAGACTGTCCTGCTGGGAACAAGAGTAGCTGACACGGTGTGAAAACTTCCTGCTAGAGTCTAAGAACCATCCGCAGCCAGACTGCCAATATTGCTAGCATGTTTGTAGTTTAACAGATATTGGGAGCTTGGGAGGTTTTCCTTTACAGTGTAGACAAAATGTGAAGTAAATGGAAAACAAATGAAATTACATCCCCACAAAAGATTCTGGGATGAGCAATTTAGATAATCATATGTTTGAAGCTTGCGATTTGTGATAAAAGGATGCTAAAATCTTCATTCTGTTTATTCCACTCACCTGCTTTGTCTTGTCATAAGCCTGGATTGCAAGTTCCCTGGGGTAAGAACTGGTGGCTTGTTACATATTTGTGTAGCAGCTAGCATGATGGGACCCTGGGCCTTGTCTGAACCTGCTAGGCACTACTGTACTGTAATACAGATGATATAACTGAGGCTTACAACAGGTCCGCTAGGAATAGTTGGAGAAGATCAGAACTCACCCTTGATATTTATCAAATGAAGAAAGTAGAAGTAGGGAAGGGGAGGAATTAAATAAATGTGCAGTAAATAGTATCTTTGAACCACAGAGATATATGGTATAATGCTGTTGGGAAACCTTTAGCTCAGAAGTTGTTGACTGGGGGTACATGGGAAGGCCCTAGGGGGTACATTTGGCCGGGCGGGGATGGAGCACTGCCGCCTCCCAGGAGCAAGGCCAGGGCAGGGCTAGGGCAGCAGTGCCCCTCTGCAGGCCACACAGGCACCACCCAGTTGGTTGTGGGGTGAGGGGGAAGCTTGCATGTGGCGGCAGCTCCTGCTGCCACCATTCACCACCCCGCACCTCTGCTCTGCTTTTGGCCATACGCCACAACCCACCCTGCCCCACTCCGCTTTTGGCTGCAGGCAATTCTCCCCCCGCCCCGTTCCGTGTCTGGCCGCCAGGGGTACACTTATTAAAAAAGGTTGAAACCCCCTTCTTTAGATTATGGGAAAATAACTGATCCTCTTTTGATGGTTTCCACACTACAACTCTTGCACACTTGCATTTGTACTCTCTCTTTCCCCCCTCCCCTAGTTTTCCACAACTGCGTGAAAGACTACTTTTTGAGAACTGTTTTGGGAAAAAGATAGGTTGGGACTAAAGGGCATGAACTCTTTATGAATGCTCTTTCTTGTTTTCCTGAACACACTCCAGCCTGCTGCCCCTTACTGCTGTTCTGTGCACAAGTGCCAGGGAAACTGCACAAGAGGGGCAAACTCCTCAATTTTATCCCCTGACCACTATGAGGAGATACAATTTGAGTCTGGCTGTGAGTCTTGTCTTATTCCATATTGCAAGCGGGGCATATTTAGTTTGTGTTGCTTCTTTGTACTCTGAAAGAAAATAAAGAAAACTATTTACATAAACAGTGGTAACCTGAACAGCTGTAAATGTTAGAAAGATTTTCGTGAAGAACACTATGATCATGTCTTAGTTCAACATTCGGCATAAAGCAGGCTAGGTAAAATCAGATGCTGTCATAATGTATAAGAACATGAATAGAATATAATAGCAGTTCTATACTGAGCCCATAACTTGGCATTGTAAGTTCCCTACATAGGGTTATTTCTAATATTATCAAGCAGGAAATTCTGTACACTATTTGAAAATAACTTTTCCTAGTAATTTTTTCCTCATCTCTTTGGTAAAATTGCCTTCTACCTGTTCCATTAGGGCTATTTGTGCCTGCATTATTAGCATCAATGGAAATTTGTGCAGTTGTGGAAATGTGTTAATTTCAGCTGCTGCATTAACAGGTTGAGCAATTAAGTGATTCAAAGATAGGAATTTATATGAATTTTGGGGAGTAAAGATTCAAAAATATATTAGACATAAGGTTACCATTGTGGTGTTATTATTTAAAAACAGAATAAGCTTTGGATGCAATTTCTTTTGTGGTATCTTGTAGTATTCTTCAGTGGAGAATTAATGATGTTAGGATGTCATAAAGAGAATAAGAAAACATCCTGGAATTTGACAACGTACTTTTTTGCTTGTCCAAGATTTAATTAAAAAAACATAATCTATTCTGAAATCTTAAACAAGCATGTTGTTTTAAAATGTGTTAATCTTTGTTAACTGCATCACAGTTCACAGTAGATGCTGGCACAAAAAAAATAACAATATTACATATTATGTTCTTTATTAGTTGAACCAGAAAATGTATTGTTTAATTGATTTTTTTTCTAATAACTTTAGTGATATGCAGGAATGAAAACTAATCATTCCTTGCAATTTTATGGATTCATTTTTATAACTGAATGTGTGTTGTATTTTGCACAAATTAACTAGCCATTTCAACTGAAATATGTCTGCTTTGTCTGGAGCTGTGCAAATTTCTGCTAAATTAAGACTTCCCTTGATTTGTAATTGAAGGAATACCTCTTGAATTGAAAGCACTAATTTTCTGCCTTAGTAAATATACAAATAATCTCTGAACATTCACTGGTTAAAGTTGAAACTCAAAACTTAATCCATGGGCTCCTTTTAACTGGAAAATGGGCTTGGGTTTACACTTTTAGATTTAGTGATTCTCAATTGCTGTTCTTTGAATTTGTAAGAAAATGCAGGAAACATTGAATTTCAAGTTAATGCTATGGTGACAGAATAGAAATGTGTAGTAATTGTGCCTGATTATTATTACATTCAAAATCTAGTATACAGTAAAAGCTGCGTTATTCGGCACATGCTCTGTTAACCAGCATGCCGATCGACACAGCAAAAGCAAAATCGGAAGTCCCACTTCGGCCAACTTTGGACCATGGCCTGGGGCAGAGCAGCCTGCGCGGGGGTCCCCCCTCCCTGTCCTCCAGCACACTGATGGCAGGGAGGGGCAGCGGTGTACTGGGCACAGCGGGAGAGGCGGTGGCCCGAACAGGCAAAGATGCCTGTTCGCGCCTCTCGGGTAACTGGCATATTTGGTTATCCGGCACCCCCCCATTCTCCATGAGTGCCGGATAACAGAGCTTTTGCTGTACTTCAAAAGATGTTTATTTTTCTCGTCTTTTATGTTCATTAGTTGATTTATATTGTATGAAAAAATATCTTATTTTGTGGGTTTGGAGTCCTACAGTCCAATCACTATAAAAAGTTAAAAACAGAAATCAATTATTTGGGGCTGACTGGGATGTTTGGTTTGGTCCCAAACAACATGTTTCATGTTTATTTCAGGAAAAAGGAGAACAATGGAAATAAAGGTTAGGCATCATTCACAAAACCAGCAGGGAAGAGAAGGATGTCTGGTCAGATACAGTGGTTATTAGATTCTGGTTTATTAGAAGAGTGATTATAACATTCACCCAGTATGTGGGAGAACTAGGAACGAATCACTTTGGCTGAAGTGTTTTGATTCCATTTTACAGGGGGGTGCCTTATTGTGATTTCTTTTTTGGTATATAAGATGGTATCGTGCTCAGTGTCTCCCACACAATCCTTGTTCTGAATCCGACTTTGGCTTT